TAGTGACGCACTCAGCCTTCTGTTGACCATTGCTGCAATGTTTACACTTTTAAAGTCGAATTGAATGAACGTAGGCTTTTTTCAAATTAATTTGTTTGATATTTGAGCATTTACATGTTCCACATTTGTTAATGAATCTTTTAGGATAACGGTTGTTTCCCTACAGGTTTTCAAGAATAATAAATTCCTCCTGTAATTTGTCGGAGAGCGAATTATTCTGATTCTGTAAAGCGGAGTTTTTACTAGATTTTGGATGAAAATGTTTAAAATGCAGGTTTTGTGGACTGTAAGTGTTAATCGTGGTTGTGTAGAAGGCACTGTAAGGCCCAGCACCCAGGCATATTGTGGAACGCCTTGACGGAAATGACACAACCTATGGAGAAAAACATGATATCAGGAAATTCAAATCCTGAACTGACCCTGATGATATCGCGGAGTGATTATGCGTCATTCTCGGATATGAGCTTTTCCGTTCATATGCGCTTTGATAATTTTATATAAGCGTTTTACACTGCTCGGCACATCCTTCTTCAGAAAGAGGTTAAGCAGATCTTGGCTGCCCGCTTCCATTATGATCAGTGCACTACCCTCATAAGATGAAGTCATTTACTAAATTAACTCGTATCCAACAATCTTGCAGCAGCTCGGCCTCGAGGGTCTCACGGAGCTCCATTCTGGAGCAACGCCTCGTCATGCTACAGATGATAATCAGCAGGAATTCAAATATTTCGAAGACTCAGAGCGGAGGCTGGGAGATTTAAGCACATTGAATGACTGATATTAAGTACTTAAAATGATAAGTGGGTTGACTACTCATTACAGAAGTGCAGATAGCAAGTGATTCCCTCCGTGGCAATAAATCGTCCTGTAGAGCATAAGAGCCTGACATCAGTTTGGATCTAACTGAGTAACTGGACACAAGCGTGAATCAACTGGATGACACGGCCAAAGTATGTGTAGTTACACACCTCACTGTTGAGCAGTTAATTCCACGTACGGCAGAGCCTTCCTGAAGCTTTACTAAACTTATTTACTATGGCACCATATGGTACGTAATGTCATGGCTCACCTATCGTTACAAAACACATCATCTTATTAGACAAGTTCCGAAGGTCACGTGCTTCTGGCACAAAACGTGTGGGTAAGTTCGGTGGATATAAAGTGTACCACACTTAAATATCTCCGGCTAGGGGTCACTTAATCCTTGGTAAAATGACTACACACGACCAGAAACTTGCTGCTTTTAGGTTGTAATGGATGTCCTCATGAAAACCTTTTAGGGATAGCGGAATACAGGGATAAGAATGGTTCGCAATGTCATCTATTTTCGATTGCCGTTTGATATGGTAAATGAACCCTATGTGAAGGTCTTGATCGGGCGGTGATTAATCATAGCTGTACAAGGACTACGACCACTAGGCTGCTCGTTAGGCCTAATTAAGTGTGATCCTTGATGCCCTCTATTAAGTGATCGCAACTAAACTCGCCTTTAAGACACTAAAATACCCAAGTCTCCCTCTCCAGCTTACTCTAGTTTTTAATTATTTACGTCGTAGTTTCTGTTTTTATTTATGTATCCACTTGTTTGATCGTTTTCGTTTGCAAATTCACACACATGCCACTAAACATATAATAACTGTCTCGCTTTAAGACTGCATTGATCAACTAACTACTGAAAGGACTCAGATAGGTTTTGACAGAGCCAAAGTCTTCACACCGAATACTGTCATCGAAAACAACCAACCACTTATGTCACTCTCCTTAGGGTCTACCAAAGCTAAGTCATTTGAGTGGTTAGAAGGGCCACGCTGGTCGCCATAGGGGCCAGCTGGCAGAGAACCAAGGTAATTTGTACAGGTGTAAAAAATAAATCGGATATTGAGTATCCGGGAAAATATCCGAACAAGTGTCAAAATCACGTGGGTTTCCTGGATGTTTACTCACAGAATTCTAAGGAAATCTATCGAGAATTCTCGTGTATAAGATTTCTGTACGCCCACTCTTCAACTCTTGCCCATTCCTAATCAGTAGCACACGCACAGAAAACAAACTGAAAAGAGAATGACTGCAGACATACGCCAAAAATACTTGGAACCGAGAAAGTCTCAAACTAACTGCACTAGTCTTGAAACGACTGAACTTGGTACTTTTCTACAGGCTTCTAATGGTACTCTACTTTCAGAAGACATTGACAATAACCTAAGACACACTAAACGTACAACAGGAAAAGTTTCACTCTACTGGATATGGCCAAACACAGAAAAAAATACCAGTGGAAATGCGTCAAGCAAGCACATTGGCCTCCTTTGAAAAGACACCTAGTGAGATAATGAAGTACTTTGTGAGAAATAGTGGTGTCTTTTCCTATCTGAGAACTTCAAAAATCATGAGCCCATTTAACTTATGGGCTTGGAGGAGTACAAAGTAGACAAAAAACAAGGAATGAATAAAATGTTACCAGCAAGTGGAATCACCCATTTAACTCTCAAATAATGGCTTTCTCCTGTTGAGTGTTGTTTCACCAATAAGTGGGCATTTTGAGTGTAAGCGTTACTTCTCTGAAAGCATGACATCACAAGGTGAGCAATTTTTAACTGATTCAGGAGGGAACTACGGTCGTGTGAGGTTTAAAAATAATAGTTCAAACAAATTTCACTTGTTGACTTTATCTCGACATGTCCGGAAGGTTTTTTGTTCCTAAATAATATAATTGGCCTTCTGGCCAATAGGGACTTTTTTGTTGTAGTTCCCCATTTCTTATACGTTAACCTTCAAGTTAACTTTAAAGTCCAGACATTAAGTATTTCTGTGGAAACTTGAGAGAGGCTTATTTTTATCCGTCTCCATCTAGCTTCTCCGAAGATAATCATTCTGTCTTCGCTTTTAATTGTTATCATGACTACCCACAAACCCTTATTTCTTATTCACACGATATCCACGTCACCTCCGAGAGTCCAACTTTTGGCTCTCTATTCTCGTTCCACTCGACGGCATGATGTGTGTCGTCATTTGATGTCTTCACATCATATATCCGATCCACATCGGACAAACATCTCGAGAAATCAAAATCAGAAGAAATGAACACCGTAGAGCATATCTTCGACCACCAAGAAATCCAATTGAACTAGAAAAACCTGAAAAATCATCAGCCATAGGTCAACATGCTATAGAATCAGGCCATAAAATTGATTTTGATAATATTGAAATAATCCCGAAAAACTTCAGAAACCACAAAGAACGTCTAATATCAGAAGCCAGCACTTCATATCAAGTGGAATCCAAATTGACTGATGAATAGAAATGATGGTCTAAAACAGAATCTGACCTGGCTACAACACCCTCCCCGATGAAGTAGCAAAATCAAGACAGATGTGATAAGCAAGTTCACTATGTAAAAACACACTACTTTCATAATTCTACACACTGATAAAATCCAAAAATCTACGCTTGATTTTGTTATCTTTGCCAATTAGCCAACTTGACAACAGGACTATATTATTTGCATATTCTAGATCAACGAGTCTATTATACCTTGATGGTAACAAGTCAATCCCTGAGTTGCTTAAGTCAGCAGTTAGGGTTAAATCCATTGGTACATCTATGATGAAATTGAATAGAAATGGGGATAGTGTGCCTCCCGGACAGACACCACTTCACATAACAACTCTCCGTAAGCTCTCACCTGGCTGAGTTCGAGTAGAGTGTCTTGAACAGTGCAATGTATTTCCTCGGCATTCCTTCACTGAAAAACATCGTTATAGTATCTCTTGGTCGACGGAATCGAATATCACCTTCAGGTCAAGAAATATAACGATTGTTGGACGCCGATGGTAAGTATTCCTGTTCCAGAATCTGTCGAAAGGTAAAGATGTGGTCGATACACCCTCTTCCTGGTGTAAAGCCCTCCTAGTTTTCTCATGTTCATTCCTCCCGAGAACCGCTAAGTCTACGCATAATTATTGAGCCCAGAACTTAAGATAGCGTATTAGTCAAGCTAATACTCCTGTGATTATCACGGGGAGACTTGTTCCCCTTCTTGTATATCAGGATAATCAATGACTTACACTAACCTGAGGGGACTTCCTCCGATTCCTAAATGCTGCCTAATACCTTAGTTAACGCAGTGAGTAAACTGTCTTCACAGTACTTAAACACCTCTGGAGTCATTCCGTCGGGTGCCACAGCTTTGCTTCGTTTCAGGTTAGTGACAGCCTTAGTAACCTCAGTTAGGGATGATGGACCAGCGTCTATATCCCATTCAGAGAGGTGTTGGATGTTCGGTAAGTTGAGAGTGGCCGTAGGCCAATTAAACTGCTCCTCAGAGTGTTCTTTTCAGCGTTCCAGTCGTTTATCCTGGAAGCTAATTATGGCGCCATTTTTCTCAGAGATTGTTTCACTTATCAATTGTCTTTTGACACCTGTTTTCCTGATAAGCCTAAATAGTTGTCTGGTGTTGCCAATCACCGATGCCTTTTTCCATCTCTTTCGCTTTTGTCGCCCACCACTGTTCACGGTCGTTTCGAAGGCTTCTTGTTAGTTTGCGTTTGAGTAGATTCCGCACCCCATCATAATTGAAGCTCGTCGGAATCAGTCTTCTTGCGTCAATCAGTTCAGATGAGGTTGTAGAAATCCAATGACTCTTACAAACTTAAGGTTTCAGGTTATTGACAGCTCTTATAGCTGTGTCAACAGATAACTGTATACTGTGCCAGGCTTCCTCAGGAGGAGTTTTGCTGTCGACCTCAGATACTCGTTTCGCTATTTCTTCCTTATATAGAGACTCAGTGTCTCGATCTAGTTTGGGACATAACTGTTTCCCTGCCCCATTAAGGATAAGATTTTATTTTGATAAATCACACAGCGTTGTACAGTTATATTAACTGATGGCGTTTCGAGCACAAACTATTGCTCATAATCATATCAAGTTGATTATGAGCAATAGTTTGTGCTCGAAACGTCATCAGTTAATATAACTGTACAACACTGTGTGATTTATCAGAATAAAATCTTATCCATAATGGAGTAATACTCTACCACAGTGCCCATGTTTCCCTGCCGTCAATTTCTAATGTCCGTTTGGTCGTAAGCATAAACGTGCGCGAATCAGAGCGTGATCGGAGTCTACGCACGTGTTCCAGAAAGAGCAGCAGTCTTCTACTGAACCTTGCCAATGACACCTTGTCGCTGTGTGGTCCACATGAGTCCAGCGTTTATTTGGTGACGAAGGTCGCCAGGTTACGCAGTGTCTCTCTTTGTACCTAAAGTTAGTGCTGACTAGGAACAGATGAGTATCTGAACAGAACTGTAGAAGACGATCACCGTTGTTGGTTCGTTGGCGGGGAACTCTATATGTACTGCCTATGTACGTTTCAATTTGGCACAACTTCCCTACTGGGGCATTGAAGTCGCCTGCTAAAACAACTATATCTGAATTGGTGAGTGGAATAGTTGACCAACTGCAGGTTTACCCAACTGTCAATGACTAGTGCTTTTGTTATTGGTCGGGTATCTTGATTTAAAATACTGTCTCCTTTACCCCATCTGTCAATTTTCTGATTTTCGATTGTAAATCCTTGAGTTTATGGGGCATGAGACATCGATCCTCGAAGTACACGCCTTCTAGAGTCTTTTCGTAAGTCCAGTGTATGTCTGTCTTCTCACTGCTGTATGATCCAATTCTCATTTGGCATCATATAGTTGTTGAATAAAGCCTGGAAATGTTTAGCTGCGCTGCAGGCCATAGTACTAAAGCAGCTACCAAACTACTTCACAATCACGGAATATACACATTGGGTCATAGGAGTTATTAAGAAGACAGTTGCAGCGAAGAAAATCTTTTCGACGAAGTCATCATCTAGGCTGTACATTCGTGTATTTATATCAAATGGATGGGAAAGTTCCAGAATAATTTCCGGTTGAGGGCCAAATGAATTAAAATTAGGAATTAGAATGTCATAATAAACAGGGGGATGGATAAAACAAACAAAGTAGCATCGTGATAGCTAAGAAGGACATTGTGCAATTAGGGGTTAGAAATGTAGAAACAAAATAGACAGGATGTTTGGATAAAAACAATCGACGCTGTCAAATGCCTTTTTCAAAGTCGATGAAGTGAGAAGAAAAAGTTGATTGCCATTCTCAGCTGTTGTCGATGATGATGCCTAGTCTTTAAATTTGGTATGGTCATGGCTTGTTTTTCCTGGGTTCAGCCTTTCTTAGTGGTTTTGTATCCCAAGCGTCTTTTAGCCTCTCCAAGATGATGCGACCCTGTACTTTGCTTGGAGTGTAAAGGAATTAGGTACTGACCTTGTTCTTGCACAGACTTGAGCCCCGTCTCTTCGACATTTTGATATGTTAGCTTTCCTTCAAATCGGCAGTTCTCCTTTGTTTCATTACAAACTTTCTGCAATACGGGTGTGAGAATGTTCACTGGGGTTTCTGGCGAATGCCCGAAGGCCTGGTTGCTTTACTAGATTACAGTACCGGCATAGCTATGTAGACCTCTTTATGTTGAAAGACGTGTTAAGTGGTAGTTCTGCTTGCACTGGTAGTATTTCTGGGAAAGCTGCAGGTAGTGATCAATCCAAGAGTCGTTTAAAATGGTTAACCCAGTGTTTCCTTCGTTCCATTCCTTTGGTAACTGCGTCCCTTTCGCTAGTTTCATCTGTGTTGATCTCTCCTCGGGAAGCAACTTTGTTAATTAATATGCTGTTGGGGATTCGACTTTTGCTCTATCTGTTCTCATAAATCTCTGACATTTCTTTACCATATCTTGTCTTTTCTTTTGAAATCTGAGCAGTCTTGCTAGTCTCAAACCTGGTGCCAACATTTGATGTCCCTATGCTTACTTTTGCTTCCATCAAAAAACGGCGATCATTCGGCTTCCCGAAGGCTTTCACCCACCGGCGTCATTTGTCTCCAGTAATGAATAAGTTTATTTTCCTTTAGCTAGCCCTACACGCAACCTTTCCTCTTTTTCGAACTTGGGAAAGGCTGGTAAACTAAGCAAGGTTTAATATGCTTACTACTTTTTCAAAATCCAAAGCTTAAAGAAGTGATGGTCACTAAAGAGTAAAGTTTTTGCGGAAGTGTTGATTGTCATAGCATATATACTAAGTCTTCTAATTTCGAGCTCTCACCTGAAGTGAGGTAAACTTGTAAGTTTAGAGTTAGCTACCAGGCAATACCACAGTTTTGAAATGCCATAGTTACAGTTATTATTTTAAGAGATGTGCAATTGTCCTACCTTGGAAATAGTCTAATCCCTGTCGGCATCATAATTCATGTTTTAAAATGACCAGGTAGCATAAGTAAGCAGTCGCAATCGAGTTAATGTTTCTTTCTACTATCCCACAGCTATGTTTCGTGACCTTTGTTCCGAAATACTTTTTACAATTCCCTTATGTAGCGAAAATCATATTGTAACGAAGTAACTAAGAAGTGATAAATTTCACTGCTACCAAGCGTGACCGCAGAGCCCAGGGGACAACTGCTTGAGGCCGGTCACACGCGGCCTGTTTTTGTTTGTTCTCTTTTGTTTGGTGTGCCTCAGTAGCATACTTATCACTCCTGCCCTGTGACACGGCAGCAGGAAGCGCGGTCGTTGTTAATCCGGGCCACGGCCGATCCGGCATGAAATTTTGTGAATTTGTTTGAATCATGGTATTGGATAGGGTAGCTGCTTTTGTTTAACCGCTATCCAAACAACCTGCCTTGCATGGTAGAACCTCAAGAGACATAAGTCTCAGCCAGTATAGCTTGATTAGGTCATTGCGGTGTTCAAGCCCGACCACCACGTCAAGGTAGCAGCTTTCGGTCGGGAGGTGTAATAATAAACTCCTGAAGGCAAAATCCCATCTTGGACTCTGTACCTGATAATAAAATCTAAGTGTTTTATCCTGTAATATTATCGCATAAAATCCTAGGTGTATGTGAAAGCATAAAGTAGGCATGAACATGAAAAGTGTGTAGTTTCGTTTAAGATTTGTTACACTGGAGAGATCTCTGGAATATGTTGTGCAGTTTTATATTACAATTTATCGCATTAGTATCTGTTCAAGGGTCAATTTGTCCAAGTGACTCCAGGTCACTTATACAGGAATCGAACGATTCCATAGACGTTACTTATGTTCGTTTTTTCGGGGTCTTTAACCTTTTGTAGCATAACACCTTAGATCCTAAAGCTCTCTGATGAACTTACTGTTTAGTCTCGTTCTTATGAGGAGGAGTACAGTCCCACTAAGCGATAAATATTGTAGGTCAGCGACTCTTCTACATAGTGGATCCTAAGATTATGGAAGCTGAGTAATAACTGTCCTGTTTTCCAATACTTAGGCTTCAGGCGTGTAGTCGCTGATACAGTTTGCTGTTGTAAAATTTTGACATCTCATTAATACCATTTCAGACATCTTATTGATGTTTAGTGATTTAGAATCTAACTAACACGTGATTTGATCAAACTTCAGTGAACCTATATATATTCTTTTCTTTGAAATCTGAATAGCTCATTTTTATTCTTTCTCATGAGTAATATTTCGAGACACTGTGCTCTCGCACAGGATAATTTATTTTAGAAAATTATGATATTCTCACTTATTCAATTACTAACATGTTCACTATGTTATTTTTAAATGTGTAAGATTGATCTGATAGAGTTTCGCGAAAGTCCCCACTTGGTTTTGCCTACCCAAATTCTTCAAAGGAGATTTCGCGCAAGATGAAAGTGGCCTGTAAGGGACTAACAGTAGCGAAATAAGTAAGAAAGTAGGGAGGCATGATGACGACCTACCATTTCATTCTGTAAAATATGAGTTACACCCAACTTAATATGGAATCACAGTCGTACTTTGCACAGAAGCGCATCGATTCAAGTTGATACTCTTCCTAAAGTCATAAAATACAAGAATATATAGATTCATACTACAAAAATACAAACAGGCATGGTGAAGGGAATAAATCAATACGGATTAGTGGGTATTTCCATAAGCTGATAGGTGACAAGGGGTGGATACGTTGGTTGCATTGTAAATAGCATCCAACCAATTCAATCTTCATAAATTTTCTTGACAACAAAACTTGTATTCCAATTTGACCCTAAAATATAAAAGCCTCATTTTATATCTGTTTATCTATTCTAAATTACATTTGTCTTTGGCTTTTAAACCTAAATTTAAACCTTATACTTAAAAATCACAACTTTAACTAGTTTCTTCAGTTTTTTTTCAGACGATGAATTTGTGGTTCCTCATATGGATATTTCCTGTTTGCAGAATTCAATAGCGTATCAGAAAGTTCTTGAAGAACCATGGGTTTACCTTCATAATTGGGATTCCTTAGCACCTAGTGTCCAGCACGAGGTGGTGCAGAGTTTCTTAAGTGAACTAAGCACACTTAAAACGGAGATGGCGATTACACAAGGTGTCTTTGATCCGTCAATGTTTGTTACACCGGATGTGTCCAATACGGTAAGTTATGTTTTGAACGATCGCTGGATGCAAGATCCTAATAGCACTTCATACCTGCCTGCTTTTGCATTTTGTCTCAACTCGCTTTTGTTAGCACATCCTTTTTTTTGACTCATGGAAACTCATCAGTCAGTAATAAACGAGTAAAGTGACAATCTGATTTGTAGCAAAGATGTCTTTTCGGCGGTTCCATTCGCAAAAGCTGTAACGTTGTCATCGCCATATATAATCTCGCAGTTATACTCATTATATAACTCACCCTAGTAACGAAGAGATATTAAAAGTGAAGCTAGTTCAACTGTGTATCTACCAATGATCTAGTCCTGTTTGGCTCCCTTTTCCCTCATACTTCTTCATCTTCAGCTATAAAAGCATTTCTACATTGTGTTTCTATGCTCATCCTGCTTACACTTTTCGCTCTCGAAAACTACTTTACAAATTACACTGCTATTTTCCTAATTCTTTGTTGTTTTAGTTTCTATGCTTCTTGCGATCCATACTCCTTTTTCATATCAGGTTGAAAATTGTTATCTCTTTTAATCTGCCTTCGTTATTATCTTGATCTAAGTGGTTATTATGACTCTGCGAACTTCTGAGTATAAATTGCATTTGTAAAACTTTTCAGAGTGAAGTCGCTGAAAAGACATCTTCGCCAAACTTCTTGTTTTTTTTTCCTCAATGTCCTGATAGGCATTTTCCACGATTTTTATAGTAATTGAGACTTAGTAGTTCTGTTCACTTATGTTCTTTAATTCCTAACACAGACGTATAATTAGTGTCTCAACATTCCGTGCGTGCTAGTCCGTGTAGAGCCCACAAGTGTGATTAGTTATTGATCATCATTTCATGTAAAAGCTTGACTTTACGTCCATCTAAAAGTGCATTTATGAAATGAGGGGGAGTGCACCACAACTCCACTGTAATAGCAGAAGGTAAGACACGAAAGAAAACGTATATTTTCAATTGATCAAACCGCTATTTATATCTATACAGTTTATATTCTTTAACCAATTACTGAGCGTATGATTTCGGTTTACATCAAACGGCATGAAATAGAATGTTCAAACAGATATATCGTATTCTGTTGCTAATGCAGTATTGAACTGTGGGAATATGTGAGAATAATATTCCGTTGGACATGTTGTCTGTATCACACCATGGCAACATTAGTAAAACTGCTATTCTAGAGATTTCGAGTCCCAGTGAAAATTGGAAGTGAACTATTGTCCAATTGTCGGCAAATCAATACTTTCTTCATCCAAAAAGGAATAAAATTCCTTTGATTGCACAGTAGATTTTAAGTATTGGGAAAATTCCTTTCCGAACACGGCCATGAACTATTTGGTGTTTACTCGACTATTTTGCTACCATAGTTAGGTAAGATTAGTCTGAATTTACATTTTTTGTCCTTAGTGGTGAAATCCTGAAATTAGGTATCTGTGTAAACTACTGTCAGCGTCGATGGCATAGCGGTTAGGACGCTCGCTGACCATCCACATAGCCGTGGGTTCGATCCCCGGCCGACGCACTCCTTTACCTTGCTAAGCCAGAAATAATGCTGGTAAAGAGGAAAGGTTGGGCATAAGGCTAGCAACCCCATCCTGTAAAAGTAATCACCACTGCTACAGAAACTTCAAGCCACTAGCTTGAAGCCCTATGTTCCACTGGGGAACGTGAAGGAAAAAAATAAACTGCTGTGTCCGTTAGTTTCACTTAATTGTTATTCATCGTATTCGTTGCAATAAACTTACGTTTCTTCACTTATAGTTGTATTCCTTTTGACAAGGTACTTTATCATACCATACTGCACTCCGTTATTATATACAAGTACACCATAGTTATAATACGCGAATGATGAAGAATTAGCGTTGTGAGTAGTGCGAATGGCGATATAGCGTTTGATAGTTCATCATATTAGCTCAATTTCGGCTACTGAACTATATTTCTAAAACAAGTGTTCTCTAAATAGTGATCATTTTGTATCTTTCTTATTTGTTCCTTAAGGTTTCAGAACAAAGTCAGAACGAAAGTACTTCAGAAGCTCCTAAAGAAAACAAATAATTTAACTGCCTGCTTATCTTCCTTAATTTCCTCAGATGTAATTATCAAAAGTAAAAAAAAATGAACTTCCTTCTGCCTCTTTGGTTTGGGTAAAACTATGCATGGGTTAATTTCTCAATACTTTACAGTATTCTTTTTTTTACTGATGTTAAATTTGGAAACTTATGTACATCATGGTGTATGAAATGAATGGGTCAATGAATTTTTGGCTTATTTTATAACCGTATACATTTGTGTAACTTCAAAAAATACAAGATACCGTTAATTTTTGAAAGTCATCTTTCATTTTCGAATTATAAAAGTATTCGTCTACAGCCGCCACGAATGGAAACTTACTTTTCATCGACTGTGGCATCATGTCAATTTAAATTGACTGATTACTGTTTCACAATTGACATATGCTCACTTTGCTAATGGAAATAGTCAATACATTAGTATTTTCTTTCCTGTAAACACCCAGAATAAAATTTGGATTATATTTATGCTTTTAATAATAGATTTCTTTTGAATATGTATGTTAGTGATAACTCCCTAACGTTCCGAATTGTATATGGGGCTTCAACAGCCCATATCCATTTCACCCCTGTTTCTTCAGTCGTCTTCAGCTGACTCCACGTTTGCACATAGTTTCTCATCTCCTCATCACACAATCTCCTCCATGTCACTCTTGCACGCACAACTCATCGTTCCCCATTCGGGTTCTTCTCGAGGGCCTGAACTTTGACATTCAACGGTCTCATCAGCGTGTATCGAATCTATCTCCATTTTCTTCGAGATATATCTTGGGCTTGGTTCGTTGCCAGATCTGTTTGTCGCTTATCCTTTTCAGCTGGGCATCTAATCTTAAGTATGAAGGGGTGGTAACTGTTGATAAAAGTCTGAAACCCGTTGAAATTCTTTTGGTGAAATGACGTTACTGAACCGCATAGAAGAACTGACTTGACATCTTGATCTTGTTCTTTATACTTAGTACAATAGATTTCTAGACTGATTTCAGATTAATGACAGTCTACCTTGCTTTTCCAATCCTGACTTTGATATCCAAATCCGCGCCGCCTTTAGTTGGAACGCTGCTACTTGCATAAGTGAATGAATTGACTTCCTTCAAATTTCTCCCGTTGATAGTAATCGGTGCTTGTTGTTGTTGGTCAGTGAGTATCCTCACCATCTATGCCTATTCTATGTTCACTTGAAGGTCTTCGCTGCTTCTCCCGCCAACTTGTTGACTGTCACCTGTTTGTGTGACACTTGTGAATATGAAACTAGTGATTTAATCATAATGTGGCCTATGACAAAGGGTTTTCGTTATACATACACTGTTGAATAGTGTATACTAAACTGAAGTGATCAGATAGCTATATATTCACCTCTGTAACACTCGTTTATTCTCTACACCTGCGTACTGACCATCCTCAAATTGTAATTAAATGAAGCACTAAGAAAAGCCAATGACAGAATGAATTCGATTATAATGAAACAAGGAATGGGATGGAAGTAGTATAGTTATAACTTATTCGTCAAACGATACTTATGTATATTCGAAGATATAAGGCAGTACTACTGCTAGACTATTTTTATACCCCATAGCAGATAACGATATAAGGTCATAATAACTGGGAATCGGTCGAAGTTACCACAACAAAAATTAGGACAGGGAATCGGAAATATTACTAAAAGCTGTATTTTCAGTTTTCTGAATAAAACTAACATTTTTGGCCTTTATATTTTACCTAATATTTTTATCTTCCATTTATGCTGCCTACTAAGTATGATAAAATCAAAAGCATGTGATAACTTAATGGCGACAAATAGCATCAGCTCATATTATTCGATAAACAGTCTTTTTAGACAAATATTATCACAATCGAATAAATCAGTAAGCTGGTTGAGTACATGTAAGAAAGGCCGTTCCCAGTTTCCTAATTAGTCAATAATCTTTTTAATATACTTCGAGAATTCAATCACTAAAGAAGCTTATTTGTTTCCTTCGTCCAATAGTTATGTTAACAAACTAAGTGGAATGGACCTTCTTAAAATTACAAGTACTTGTGAAGTATTTTAGCTACTCGAAGCATGGTGCTTTACTGAAAAGTACTTTAATCTACTGAATCAAAAATTCGAAGTTATATTAAAACTCAATGGTTTATCCTATCAGATGAAAAGTTTTATGGTTAAGAAGTAAAACCTTGAAAAAGAGGTAGTGTTGCATGTACTACTGATAATATTTATCAGTAGTATTTGGGGAGACGTTCATCGACATAAAAAACATCAAATAGCAAGCGGATAGATTTGTTGTTGGAGAAAGCAAATGATACAGCGTCGCGGGGTTACACGGGAGACGTGAAAAGAGCACAAAGAAACAATATAAAGGCCAGAAGATTTGTGCAAATTTTGCGAAGAAGAAACACTTGTACATAATTCCGCCATAAAGATATACCAATTTCCCAATAAACCTCCCTTTACCAAGTCTTCCGTCTTTTACCGTTACAGTACTACCAAGCACTGATAGATTACATTTCACTGTATTCTATTCTGTTACAATAAGTGTGATGAGTTCAAACAGCTGGCAGATGTGCATGTAAGGGTATTCAAAGTAGAATATTGTTACCGAATGGTGAGAAACTGCATACGGCTTTTTCTGAGGTTTAAACGACTACTACCTCTATGAAGGGAAGCACATGCAACATCGCTTACGCTATTCATATTTAGGACTTCAGCAGCACTCGTATTTGAGATAGACCGGATAACTACTAGGGTTTTTTTTTCTGTAGCGTAAATTTGCATGAACATAATTTAAATTGATGAGACAGCGTTTTCCTTACGCCGACAAGGCTAAATTTGGAATGTCTCTACATGGGCTGAATCGTAAATGATTCAATATTGTCACATTGATGCTGTGTATCACTAATACCACCAAAATGACTGTTAACTCACCAGTAATAACAGTTGTTTCGCGATAATAACACGCTGTGTTTTGAGCATGAGAGATATCAGTATGTGTATTGTGTTTAGTTACGTGGTGTAATTGGTGATGCATGTGACGTCGGTCACAGGATTTTTATCAGAACCCTTAGAAAACGGACATTTATCCTCACCATTGTATAACTAACGCTCAGCATGGTCTTTCCATAGGGTCTACATAAGCATCATTAGAAATACAAAAATCCGTCTGTTACTTCAAGCTGTTTGTTATTTTTAGGCCAAAGATGTCATTTGAAAATATTTGAAAACTAATGACGTTTTAGTTTCTTGATATATATTTCATATATTATATCTTGTGCAGAGTTTTCAATTTAGAGATCGTGTTTGTCAGGATATATCACCAAAATTTATCAAAAGGCTTTTAAAAACCTATCCTTTTTGAAGATTTGAGCCATTATGTTACACGGCTTACTGATTCGTGTTTATGCTTTAATAACATAAATGTCTATTACTGATTAAATTTACTACAGAACATGTTGATAATCAGCGGTGTGTACCTGTTGATTAGCACGAAGAAATCGACATCCAGAATTCTCTCCTACTTGACTAGCAATTTCTTATAACAGACTCGGTTATACTTACAGCTGAGCCCCTGTGTATTGTCATTAACACTAATAAAACTAAGATTTTCACAGTTTTTTCTTATATGGTGCAGTGTTTTTTTTAAATTGATAGACACAATTTCATTTAAGGATTTTGCGCAGTTTGTTTAACTAAGCTTTTACCATTCGTCTTCCCTGTAGATAAGAATGGGGGTTATAGCTTATTAGTCTAGGCGCTCGACTTCCAGCGAGTTCTGAACCCTGCCGAGGTTTGGACAGTTAGGTAGTATAATTAGCTGTCACGCAATAAGTGCGGCTCACTGCCAACTCTATGGAATTACAAGCGGTTGCTGAGGAACATTTAATTTTCACTCTAGATAAGCGGTGCAAAACTACTGACTATTAACTAACTTCCATCGTATCCATTCAGTCAGAATAATTCAGGTAATATCCTGTTTGAAGCGGGAGTAATAAAATAGGCGTTCCTACCGCGAAATGTAGTTTACTTAATTCAACATGGAAATATTATTGTTATGAAGCATAATTAGCATACAACTAAATTTGAATGCCAATGAAAATTTAACTACCTATATACGTCTCAATGCAGGGTTTTTAAATTGCGAAATATACATATCGTTAACACTACCGTTTATACTCTTGTACCATGCGTTAGTATTCATGTTAGGTATGGTATTCAACTTGATTAGATTTGTAGATCGGATATGTTGTTAAGTACTCACATATACTCAGGTGAAATCTCACTCCAGATTGTTCAATGTGCTGACTGGTATACTTATTATATAAAAATAAGAATGAACACCTCGTTCTTTGCATAACATAAACAGTCCAGTTAATATAAAAGATTCCATTGTGATTTTTCTTCACCTCAGTGTATGCAGTAATCGTATTTGTACCTCTACATGTTTCGTAAATTTAAAACTGTCTTTTGTTGACAGTCTAGATCTTTCTAAACGAATTCAGTGATTCCTAATTGCAGTAGAATATAATCCGCGTATATATGTATATATATACATTTATATAATATGTAATGAGATTTTCAGCACTTGACAATTAATTTGATACTGACTAGTGATTGACTGTAGGTCAAAGTTACCCGGAATTCTAGTGAGAAGTCGTGACTAGTGAGATCCACCAGGTTGTCGATGACACTGGCTGGCAATGACGCTAACAGTCGTGATTTAACAAAGATGAGAATTCATCAAGCGCTGAATTCCTTCTTAGTGACTGAATGGTCAACTAAGTCGTCTCATGACCTGAGGGTGCTGGGTTCGAGATCCCCGATGGGGTCCCGCTACAGAGTTTCAAACTAGGAGGAAACAACTATCCAGTACTGTTTGGTTGTAGATGGTTTCCTAGCTGTTATCACTCCCTTGATCAAACTTGAAATAGTGACAATTAGTAGCCTAAAAAAGATCCCCTTGAAATTAATGACAATCACCAAGTGTTTATATATTCAACGATATTTTAACCATGCAATGCTAATTTGCTACTTCTAATTAGTTCTTATACTGCAATGCTTTTCTTTCTTCTGCACTTTATTAAATTTCGGTAATCTGAATTGAGATGCGCTTTTATACTCAATTTATTTTGTTTTATTAAATGCAATTTTTATGTCCATATGCATAAAAGAGGCTAAATACACTTACACATTAATTCGTATTAAGAATCAGTAGACAGAGGGGATAAGGCAAAAAGAAAGAATAATCGAATTCATCATCATGTTGATATCATCTCATAATCATAAATAATAAGAGATTTTTCAAGTATATTTGAATGAAATCAAAACAGATCATTTCTTCCAGTAGATATTTAATCATCATTTTGGAATGTAGGATAAAGTTATCTTGACATTTTATATGTATATTAGGCACGGTGATATATATATTGCTTTGTTTTTTTTAATTTATTAATTTTCTGACCAAGATTTTGTACATTTTGAGGAGGCAGACGATTTAGAAGCACTCGATGGAGCTGATACATTTAAGCTTGATTTGTTTAAGTGTATCCATTCACCGGAATCAGTATACATTAAATGACAAACATTTACCTGTGAAGTTTTTTCAGTTGAATCTAAGAATTCAGTTTTTATAACTGGTGGTATACGATTTAACTGTTTATTATTATTGTTACTGTTATTGTTCGTATTGTTTTTATCATCAGTAGGTCGAGATAAATCTGGAGAAGATGCCATATGTGGAGTAGATAAATGAAACGAATTCATACTGGCAGTAGTATGTAAAGAGTTTGTAGGATTTGATATAGCTTTAGGTAGAATACCATTTAGTGTATTCATTGAATATAAGTGTCTATCGTGTTTTCTACTTCTTTCACACACTGAGAGATTATTATTATTATTAGTTTTCATTGTTCTAACATTTCTTCGATCAATTTTTACATGACGTTTACGTAGATTTTCTAAAACATCCGAGAATTCACGTCTCTCTAGTGATAATCGTTTTAATTCCCATTCTAATTGTTTATCTAACTGAGATCTTAATGATTGTAGTCGATTGCGTTCTATTAAATTTCGTGATTTTACAAATCTTGCCACATCTGGATTACGTGAACATTGTTCCCATTCTGTTTCTTCACGAATTTCATCTAGATTAAATTGATCCTAAATAGATTGTTTAAATAAAATATATTTTTCTTCTTATCAAATCAAAGAATTAAATCACTCACCATTTTTGAATGTTGTAAACAGAATATTTTCTTTTTAATCCGTAAAGTGGACTTTTATTATTTCACTATACATATACACTTGTTAATATTGACAGGATATATAAAGTCACAATGAATAAGAAAAGTGATCATCGAAGGCCTTATTTATTCTAATATTATAAATGAACAAATGACCTTAAAGCCAAGGTTGCATGTAACACCCACGCAAATATGATAAGAAATATAGACTAATTAAAACACTATGACAACAGTTTGTATTGTTTAATAGAATACTCAAATAGGGCACATATATATATTCACATGAACATGTGTGCAAAACAACTTATGTAAATATACACATTATAACCAAAGAATAGTCTGTCCACAAACGCGAATTTGCATAAGTGTGTGCGTCGTATCTGTGTATGTGTGTGTTTCATGTGTATATAACTAGTACCCAATCAAAAGATAACTTTTATTGAGGATATTTTTTTTATGGAAGTGCCTCTGAGATTGTTCAGATGTTTAAGTGTTGGTTTGTAGGGATTTGGTTGGTTTCAGGATTTCATCATGAGCTGACATTAGTTAGAGAACCATTGGAAAACCTGCAGGGGGTACTGGACAGCTGTTTCGTCCTAGTTTGACGACTTCAGAATAAGCAGAGTTCGTTCGCAGTAATAGGTTTAAAATACAGCTGGCTAATTTAGGTTACAAGGTATTATTAAATGCATGCGTGATCTATGAATACTCCTCAGTTTTTCATCAGTTTATTTTGACCCACTTGATGAAAAAGGCATGTTGAATTTTGTTTGTAAGCTTAGGCTGAACTGCTCATGGTTCTAGAGTTACTAAATATCTGTTCTCGTACACTTTTAATGTACGCCAGTGGCATAGTGGTTAGGACTCTCGCAGACTATGCACATGTTCCGAGGTTCGGTTCCCTGCCGACGCACACCTGATATCTGTGGTCAGCCTGCGAAATTTGGGCTACCGATATCACATGCTGTAAGTTCCATACTTGTATCAAAAATACTGTGTGGAATCAAGCTGTAATCCAAATAAAAGAGAATATAACACAATGGTTTAAATAGATTCTTTTTTTGAATTGAATTTTTTTTTTGATTTTCCCGTCGATTGATTGGACCGAAGTGCTCGGTCTCAGGTTCGAGCCTCAGTGGGAACATCATCACTCAATGAGAAATGCAGGTACATCCAGCTGACGAGTCCCAAATAGGACGAAATGCGCATCCTGGATTCCACTGCTAGCCACCATCCACCAATTAGATTCTTTTTTTCTCTATCTTCGGTACCAACCTTAAATAACGATTATGTTAACTGTCCCTTTTACCACTGGCTTGAGACACATTGGAAGGTGTAGATTATGTGGTTGAACTCCTTGAATAGCTAAGAAGCATTGGTTGGAGACTGTTGATGTTATTGTTCTTCTTGGTGTAGATGCATTCGCCTCATGTAATCTCTCAAAATCATTAAGTACCTATTATTCTTCACTCAATTATTCTTTCTTCTACAAATTTCAGTTTCATTTCTTTTTTCTACTCCTATGTTTGTTCTTTAATGAGGATTAGCCAGTAGGAGCTCTACGCTTTTGTGTAAAGTTCCGGGTTCAGAATTCAGTTCACTTGTGTGAAGTTGCTGGAAAATTAATTAAAGATTAGTTAAGACTGCCAAAAGCAGTGAGGAAATCGTCTTCATTATAAACATTTTTCAGTCATCTTGCTAATTGTAGTCAACCTGTGATTCTTAGTGTCCCTAGGAACCCTTTACCCTCCTATGTGACTTAGACAAACAGTCAGTGGCTTCGTGTTTTAGTTTGACTATGCAATTTTCCTCAACTAACATAGTTCTCTATCACAGAAGGAAAATATGAAACAGTAAACCTTCCGTTTCAGTATATATGTCAAAATTACGAATATATCTTAATTATTATAACTGAATAGTGTAACTAAAAGCTAGTGCCACTGATAAAAAAATGAAACTACACGATAGAAAATCTAACTATTTTAACATCAAGTATTGTTTTGTAGGGATTTCCTTTTACTGGTTAGAGGATTTCATCATGAGCTGACATTCGTTAGAGAACCATTGGAAAACCAACATGGAGTACTGGACAGCTGTTTCATCAGCCCAGTTCGGTACTGTCCATCAGTACTCACCCACCACCAGGGTTCGAACCCAGGACCTTCTGGTTACAAGGCGAGCTAGCTCGTAGATCATTAAGCCAGTGGGCACCTATCCAATGACCAGTCCATGAATTGCAACTTCTGCCACTTCAGAACATAGCATGACCAGTTAACAATGTCTTCTTCGATGAGTAACTGTTCTCACCTTTGACCTGATGTACCCTACAAGTCACGGCTTCCCACTAGAACCCCAGGTAACTGCCTGAAATGGAGTCAGTCACTAGTGAGCATCAATCACTCACGTGAATATCAATATGACGCTCACTAGCGACTGGCTCTATTCAAGTAGGTAGTTACGTAAGTTCTAGTGAGAAGTCATGACCAGTGGGTACAGCAAGTCGAGTGTGAATACAAATACTCGCCAGAGAGGACATTGGCTAGTGGTCGTACCATATCGTGAATTGGCAGAAGTTAGAATTCATGGGCTGACCATTGGATTGGTTCCCAGTGGCTTAATAGTCTACGAGCTAGCTCGCCTTGTAACCAGAAGGTCCTGGGTTCGAACCCTGGTGGTGGGTGAGTACTGATGGACAGTACCGAATTGGGCTGATGAAACAGCTGTCCAGTACTCCGAGTTGGTTTTTCAATGGTTCTCTAACCGATGTTAGCTCATGGTGAAATTTTTTGTATGAAATTTTATTGGTCGACTTCACAAGAATTACCTTACTTTTTAGAAAAACACTCGATTATGAAAATATAAGCCAAACTTTAGTAATAAACTCTCGAAAGTATTTTCATCGAATAAAATAACGAATTGAAGCCCAGTTTGATACCCAATATTAGAAAATATCACATTCGCTGAAAGGAACAGTAATCAAATTATAGCATAAGTTCCAAACAATATAAGAACTAAGATGTCTTAAGGTCTGATATGTTGGCGTTTTTAAACAAAACATTTTAAAATCCTCATTTAAATTCATGTATTTAATGCTTTAAGCAGATAGTTTATGTTTAGGAAAATATTCTAAACAAATAAAACCACATGATAGACAATTAACGTATATTCTGGTGATGATGATGGAAGTAAACAACGTTCAAATGTACATAAGTTTGCTTGCATTTTAGCTGATGTATGAATATCACACGCACAATCTGTATTGTAGAGGTATAAAAATCTGTGTATTAACCATGTGGGTTTTTATTTTTTTTACAGACAATTAAAATTTATGCAAATGAAGTGTAATATGATATGTGTATTTGTCATGTACAACTTGTCTGAAAATATAGATCATACGATTTGATTCTTTGAAGTAAAGTACAAGACATAAATAAATCGTCCGCCTTCAGTGAATTTCCTTGTTCAAATGAAATGGATGCATAATTCAGAAATAAACAGGAAGAAAAAAATCTAAAAGGAAATGACAGTATGAATGAATTAAAATAAAAGTTGATAAAAAAAAGAACAACTGGGACGTTTCGTTTAATGTTGACATTTTGCCAATTAATTTACAACAATGGAGAGGTAATGGTGCGTTAAATGTAGTACTAAATACATTCGCGATACCTTTTATAAACCAGCTTTGAGTAAATAGTTCAAAGGTCTTATAATAGTATCTAAAAAGTTCAAAAATTAATTGATTTTTACGCAATAGCTATTTCCTGATCCCGAGGTGAAATTCAAAATGGCTTTAAATGTAAAATAAAAAAATATAATGGGTATCATAAGTCAAAAATCAAACAGTTGTCAACATCCCACTACGATCCTGTCTAGTAATTAACCCCACGAATTAGACCAACAATGTGACATAATCAAAGATTCACCTTAATTTCTATCTGTACTAACTAATCTTCTAACTGCCAGGCCGTTGTTGAGGTAAGTGAGTCCCCACTAATGACTCTGGATGATTGAAAGGAATTTAAATACATTGTAGGTAAGTAAGTTTGAAAAATTCAATCTTTCTTTTATATTTTGGAGCATTCTTTCCACTGTCGTCACGGATTGATAACAGTACGAGAAACATTGGAAACCAGACAGTATTAGACAACTGTTTCGTCTTAGTTTGGTACTGTTTAGCTATAATCAGCCATGAACCCTTCGGTTGGCGCAAGTAATCGCGAAGTGACACTACTTAGAATTCATGGAACATTGAATTCCGTCCTAGTAGTTGAATGGTCAATGAACTCAGCTAGTAACCTGAAGATCTTGTGTTCAATACCCCGATGGGTCATTAGTACGTACGGCTATGTAATCCCAAAGCAGGACGGAATAGCTGTCCCGTACTCCCTGATCTCCAGTGGTTCTCTAACTGATTTCAATCTATGATCAAATTTGAAGCCAATCAAATCCCTACAAACTAACACTTGTTAATCATTTTTCCAGTTGCACTTCTTTTCTCAATAGATGACTTGAAATCTCACAAACAATAGTGCGAAACCAGTTGAGTTACAGTAGCGCTTTTTTTATTATTCCAGTAAAGTTCAGATTTGTTTTCGCCTTCTCTGTTATAAACTATTACTATGTTGTTACATCAACAAATCATACTCACAGTAACTTGAATATACTTAATATCCAGCAATACTGTATATTCTTAAATAAATACACACTACTAGTGTAACAACAGAACACCATATTATTTGCTAGCAATGTTGTTTATTAACAAATTAATGCATAGATATGATAAAATACATATGCCTTACATCAGAATGTTCTCCGTACTGTACTTCTTTTCATGTTACACACGGGTTTTTCATTCCTCCTCTTTGCTATTTAATGTGTGCCTTTGCTATTCAGTATCTTTGCAGAAGACAACACATACAATGTCAGTAACGCACTCCACACCGGTTTTTATGAGATTTTTTTTATAAAGGCTTAATGGTTAAATATTTCTGAACATTTCAGGGCTATAAGAGGTGTGTCTGTGTGTGTGAAATAAATGTCATTACTACTAATGTGCTTTTTGACATGACCAATTGAATTAATTTATATGTCGATACAATGACAGTGAACGTAATGGACACCCCAACTGAAATACTAGATACGACTATTCGTCCTCAATACCTTCCACTTCATTGAGCCACGCGAATATCAGAAGACAAAGACTGGCCGGTAACTGTTAAGGGTATCTTTAT